GTAAAGGCGTGCTTTTGAAATTCCTATAACATCATTAAATGTTACGGTATTCTTTAAACTAACGAAAAAATGTGAAGCTAAAGATCGAAAACTTACGTAAACAAGATTCTTCACTTTCCACAGACTGCTCTGAGGTCGCAAGCGAATTATTTTTAGACTTCTGTTCGCGTCCTAAGTAAGAATCTAGTGTTGAATTCAATTTTAAACAAACAGCTATATTTGTAACCTTACTTCTCTGGGTTGGTTCAAAATAGCGTCGAGATAAAAGTAGTGAATTTTCTTCATCATTTTCTTTATTATCTTCAGTCTCTTCTGTCCGAAAATCAATTGAATTGTAAGAGCTACGAGGAGATACTTTAAACAAATCACTATCAAGCAACTTCTTCAGGTCATCTGAATATACACGAATGTTATGTGCTTTTAACCATTATAGTTTAAAACCCAATAACTCAGATGCACATGTTACCGAAAGAAATCACTCTAAAACAAGACCAAAAGTGCTGGAAACTTTATTCTTCACTGAAACAAAGTAGAGTAAATTACCAAATACTAGTTTAGTTAAGAAAAACAAGTTTACATATTTACGAACAAAGTTTTAGAAGCAAATGATTTCTGAGAGACTTACCTTTGCATGGGACGTATGACGGCTGTGAACCAGATATAAAATGACTTCTATTTTCTACAGATTTGCTGCAAGACTGTGTAAGCAACCCTTCTAAAATTAAATTGGTTCTACTGCCAAGTCAGCAAATAATTTCTTTAAAAAAATACAGCTGGATTTAATTCTATTAGGGAACAATTGATCCGCGGAACATGCTAACAGAAGACCGCATACTGGTAGCGTCAGACCCTGCTATAGAAGGATTAGAGGCATTAGGTTCCTTTGCCCAGTCAGTCAACTTGATTCCCTCATTATGAACAACAATTCATTGTTACTCGCAGTCACCTTCATTTATAAAAAAAATTTTTTTTTTTAGAACTCAAAGCAAAAAATGTAAGAGTTCAGAAAAATAAATTATTTTTTACCCCTAACAGGAAAAAAACGTCCAGAAACAAAAAGATTCTTTATTATTTTTTTAATTACAAAAAACCTGCAAAATAGGTTGACCAATAGGCCTAAAACCACTAATTACTAGACTGTAAGAAAAACAGTTGCTTTTGAGCTTCACAAATACTTTTGACATTGTGTTATAAGTACGAATTATCAAAACAAGTGTACGTTCCTAAAGTGACGTTTCCCAAGTGAGTTGTTGTAGTGAAATAGAGCTTACTGTTACGGCTCCCCAAAACACGGTCAAAATTTAACTTTTTTTTACCGGCAAAGCATGATATGAAAACGGAATTAAAATCCCAGATAACAAAAACCTTCAAGTGAGTCATTTACAACATCTGTTTCCTTGAAATCTCCCGAGTTATTTGGCGTTGTACCTTCTCGACTTGTTAAAGGGCTTATAGACTCCCTCTGAAGTACAGCATGTAACAGAAATATTATATTACAGTGTCCAGCGAGCGACAGATGAAAAGCTTTCATATGATTTTAAAAAGAAAAAAATATTTTGGGTAAGACAAACCTGAACTGGAAAAACGATTCTTGGCGATTCTTCCACTGCAATAATGTGGTTAAACATACAGAAATTACTTGACAACATGAACCAAAATAGAACTAACTGGTTAGAGCAAACCTTAATTAACATTAAAAACCTGGAAAATATTTGATTTACTAACAGGTAGATGCCACAAACAGCTCAATGTTACTACTAACTATTAATCTAAAAAACTGAGAGATAACTGACAAATAACTAAAGTTTTATGCAATTCAGTGACAGAGCCAAAGAGGCAAAAACTGATTATAAAGGAATGTACTATTACCGGTTGCAAGGCTTGGGCGGGTTGAAACGGTTCGGCAGTAAGAAAAGCTTCCCCCAATTCCACTAACTTCTGGCAGTCTAGAGGATTAAATAGAGATTAGTTCTTTCTATTCAACTTGTTATCAACTAAAAAATGAAGGTAGAGAAAAACCAGGAGTACCAATATTTAATGCCTCAATCAATAATATAAATAACTTATATTCAACACTGCTTCATAAAGTAAAATCATCTAAAAGAGAAGTCATCCACAGACCAAAAAGAATAGCCATAAGAAATAGCCATGGAAAAAAGTAACTAAAAGCTAACAATGTTGTAGAACAAAGAACATTATCAAATTCCTTGATAATCCCTTGCATGTAACCGATAGCCCTTCTAGTAACTGTTTGAAGCCTTAACAGTTTATCCTGAAATAGACATTACACAGTAAAAATGACGGGAAAGAAACAATTCTAATACAGTAGTGAGACAATTTATAGTTATATTAAACACTATAAAAATTTGTAAAATTAACAATATTGTTAAGCCAATACCTTCGTCAACAAAAATTTTAAAAAACATTATTGCTTTTATATGATTCGCTTAACCACGAAAGGACTCACTCTCATACGTCTTTCAATAATCATGTTTATCCGTTCCTCTTCTATTCCAGACTCTAAAACCGATATTGCAGCCCGAAGTTCAGCATTGGTTGCGCGTAGGCGTTCTGCTTCCGCTTTGTTATAGAGCACTTCAGCGTTCAAGACTTTGTTCCGTTCTATTAAAGAGCGATTTGCTTGAGCGAATGCCGAAGCAATGCCTTAAATCGTAAGTTAAATATGCACACACGAATGCACAAAGATGTATATTTTAAAACATCTTTCAGTAAAACAGAACTAAAAGAAATAAATGAAATTAAAAAAAAAGAAATCAACCAAAATTTTTTTTCAAAAATAACCTGAAAGAACTTTGTAAAAACAAGAAAATTTTGAATGTTTATACAATTTAAAAAAGGAACTACCAACTTTTTTTCTCCATGTTCAAAAAACGATGACCATTTTTATCTTAGTAAAAGAAAAAAACTTGCACAAAAAAAGTGCAAATATTGCTTAGGGATATACCTTTCTTTTCAAGAAAGCTTGATAAAGAATTTTCCGAACTATTCATCTCCGTCAGAAAAAAATAACTGCAATTAATCCATTAGTATACAAATTTAAGTAAATAAATAAACAAATAAATACATATATATATGGAACAGCTATATTGGTCAAAGTGATATTTCGAGATCAAGACTAGTTCACAAGACGAATTTCAGTCTATCCAAACTTATAATGTACAATTTGAAATTTATAGATCATACAAGAAAAAAGAGAGGTGAAAATTTTTGTTTAACAAAAATAGCAATATAGGCTGCTAGTGTTGGAAAGCAGTCCACGATAGATGTTTCAATGGAATGTTCTTCTCTGAAACATTCAAAAATGGAAGCAAAATACTGATTAATTGTAAAAATAACTGTTACTGAATAAATTAACAAGTAAAAATCAGAACATTCAATAATTAGAAGGCAGTTAATGGATTCCTTTCCTTTGCGACTTTGAAGGTTCAAAAAGAGCAATTTGATTGAGGGAGCAAGAAAAAAGCCCGCCAAAAAATGCTTAGAATCGGCACGAGTTGGCGAATTGCCGAGAAGCATATCTGTAACCTGCGGTTTAGATCAATTTAATATGTCAGT